TCTAAATGCAACTTTACTTTGGCTCTTTCAGAAGTCATTATTGTTTATATATACACACTTTTTGTTGATCACGTTCTATTATGGTGTGTAAATTGTATCAATAAGTTTTCCATCCACTTAATAAGCAATATGAAAACATTTTGAAAACATAATAATTTTAGGTACAACATTTGACATCAACATTTTTGTTGTTTAAGGTGTTATTGACACAACATTGGTATATTTTAGGTAATGATAGTAAACTTTATTTCAGAACTTAGGACTTTTGATAAAGGCTTAACCCTTTTTGGATGCAAAAGTGATATCTCACAGTTTGGGAACTTAGGAATAGTTTTCGTTTAGTTTCTTTTTTTGATGATTGCCGAGCACCCTGAAAAGTTTTAGGCATCCAAATGACTAAATTTGGGTGTGGTCAGCTCAAAGTTTTTTGCCTATTAAAATTAGATTTATCCAGGAGCATAATTAAAAAAAGAAAGGAAGCTAGCTTCGGAAAGCCGAAGCTTATATACCATTGCAGTCGAACAAAATACATAAAGGGTAAACAGCATCGAAGCTATAACGTTTTTTTCTATTTATTTGTCATATTTTCGATTATTGTTTATATGGCAGCTATATGATATAGACGTCCGATTTTGATAAAACTAAATTCGTTATTCAACTCAGAACTCTATATTTCAAAAATCAAGATTGTCTGATGAAAAACAACGATGTTATAATTTTATTTCCCGTAATTCTATAAAGATTTTTCGATCTTTCCTATGGCAGCTATATGATATAGTTGTCAGATTTTTATGAAATTTTTTTCTCTGTTCAAGGGTAGTTAAAAAAGGCGATGTTGTAAAAATCATGCTCGTGGAATAAAAAACAACGAGGTTGTTCAAAAAGTGTCGCGAATTTTGTATTTTCGCAGGTTACCTCGTATCGAATTTCGATTTTTTTGTGGCGTTATGTTGGCACTCATGTCTCACACTTATGCCGACAAGCTCGGGCCATTTTGAATGTTCACTTAATTGTTGACAGCTGCTTTGCTTTGAATCGTCTTCGATTTTTACCTATTCAAAAAAATGGATCAAAGAACCTGTATCAAATTTTGTGTGAAAAACGAAAACGAAATAAAGTGCGTGGATGCATTCCGAATGTTGACTGTGGCATACGGAGAAGCTACCTTAGGACCGAAGCAACGTTTATCGGTGGTACAAAATGTTCTCAGAAGACCTAGAAGATGTGAACGACGAAGAGCGTGCCGGACGCCCGAGCACTTCGAATGTGAAAGTTTTGCTGACAGTTTTCTTCGATTGCAGGGGCGTGGTGCATCATGAGTTCTTGCCACAGGTAAGAACAGTCAATAAGGAATATTACCTGCAAGTTATGCGCAATTTGCGCGAATAAATCCGCCAGAAACGCCCGGATTTGTGAAAGAACAAAAATTGGCTTTTGCATCACGATAACGCCCCTGCTCACACATCGTTGCTTGTGCGCGACTTTTTGGCCGAAAACAACACATTAATGATGCCGCAGCCACCGTATTTCCCAGATCTGGCCCCCTGTTACTTTTTCTTGTTTCCTAAACTGAAGATTCCATGAGAGGACGACGTTACGCTACGCTTGACGAGATAAAGGCGGCATCGAAGAAGGAGCTGAACAAGACAAAATAAAATGATTTTTTTGAAGTGCTTCGAAGATTGGAAAAACCGTTGGCACAAGTGCATAAAATCTCATGGGGATTAATTTGAAGGAAATAAAATAGATATTCATGAATAAAAAATTTTTTTTTGAAAAAACACAAAATTCGCGATACTTTTTGAACACACCTCGTATATTTAATATTTCGAGCTTTCCTATGGCAGCTATATGATAGAGTTGTCCAATTTCGATAAAATTTAATCCGAAATGCTATAGTATGTAGGTAGAAAACACCATCTGGAAGAAATCATGTCGATTCGATGAAAAACAACGGCGTAATAATTTTTTTCCCGTAATTTTTTTGACCTCTTGTACGGGAGCTATCTGATATAGTCGCCCGATCCGGCCCGTTCCGACTTATATACTGCGTGCAACAACTACACTTTTGGGTAAGTTTCAGCAAGATAGCTTTAAAACTGAGAGACTAGTTTGCGTAGAAACGGACAGACGGACAACTGGACAGACTGACAGACGTAAAGACGAATTTTTATTCAGATCGTACTTTATATATACTTTATATAAATTATAATACCTTTTGCTCTGCAAGGGTATAAAAAAACTCATTTGATGTAAAAACCTACCTAATCAAAAAGATTAAGGGTAAATTCCCATATGCAGGTATAACTCCATAGGTGGTGACTAAAAAATGTATAGATGTTAATGGCAGAGGTATGAAAGTAGTGAAAGAACGAAAACGAACGAGTAGTATGCAAACGGAAAAGGTCGAGCGTGGCGGCAGCAAAGGGAAGGACAACAAAGCTGAAAGGGTTTTCACCGAATCCCTTCATTGTTGCTTCTGTTACCCCCTTTTACTGACACTTGCATAATTTTGGGAGGACCTTCTGAAAAGCAAAATCCATCTCACACAATGCGCAGAGGAAACAAAAGCGACGAAGTATCCAAGTATCCGGCAACAAAGTCCAGATCCGACATCGACTCCGATTCCAGCACAGGAGTCGTAGAGCACGGATCAGGGAAGCGGAAAAGTTTGCTGAACAACAATTACAATAAGCTGGATGGGGCAACAGCTGCGGACAGCTGGGGCGGCCTTGTCCGGCGGAGTCCTGGGCAAAGAACACTGCAGGCAATGGCGGATCGCCGCGAGGAGTGGAAACACTTTTCTTATTACACAATATGCAATCATAATAACAATCATAATAATAACAATGACAGATTTGTCTCTTCCGCGCTAGCTGCTTCTGGCCCTTGAACGCAACACGTGCGGAAATGTTTCGTAGCCACAATAACAATGGCGACAACAGCATCCGCAAAGGCAACAAAAGGCGGTTGAAACTTGAATTTTTTGTGTGCAGAATAAGCTGCACTTACGCGCTTTTTGGTGCATAAATCGCTGCGACACAGCAAATTAGTGACATAATAATGAGAGGCCGGCAGTAGCAACGTGTGTTTATGCAGAAATACAGTAGAATCCGGTTCTAGCGACTTTCAAGGGACCGACGATTTTATGACGATATACCCAAAAGACGCACTTACAAAAAGGAGCAAAAAAAAAAAAAAAATTTCGTCTCAAAACCCGGGCGGACATTATAGGCGAAGTCGTTATAACAGAATTCTATTGTATTTAAAAAATCAAAACGACAAATGTGTAGAAGACGGCAACCATATAGTATACAAGTTACTATATGTGTTATCTTTCTCATTCATAATACCCTTGCAGAGGGCATTATAATTTAAGCTACAATTTCTTGATCAGCAACACGATCTGTACAAACTAGACGTCTATAAGACGTGTGCGTCTGTCCGTCTGTTTGTTCGTTTTTCTGTGTAGACTTGTTTATCGGTTTTAAAGCTATCTTGCAACGTTACCAAAAGTTGTGTAGTTGTTGCACGCAGTATACAAGTCGGAACAGGCCGGATCGGGCGACTTTATTAGATAGCTCCCATAAGAGAGATTGAAAAAAAAATCATTGACTTGGTTTTTCCAGATGGTGTTTTTTAAACTATTTCTACTTAGATTTTTCGATCTTTCCTTTTTCAGCTATATGATAACGATATAGTCGGACGTACTTCGATTCAGATCGTGATGTTGATCAAGAATATACTCTATACACTTTATGGGGTCTGGGGTGTCTCTTTCACTGCGTTGCAAACTTCTGACTGAAATAAAAATACCCTTTTGCTCTCCAAGGGTAAACAAATAATAACATCTTGGTTTTCATCAGACAAACATCATTTTTGGAATATAGGTTTTTAACGACTCTTCAATTTCGAATTAACTTTGATTAAAATCGGACGATTATATCATATAGCTGTCATATGAACATTCGTCGAAAATATAGAATCTTAATAGAAAAATCGACACAGCTTCTATGTTGCTTATCCTTTATGTATTTTGTTCGACATGTTTTATAACTTCAAGGGTTTAGATTAGGTTTAATATAAAAACTGTGGGCGCCTGGTACAAATATATTTTCTTGCTGGCCGTCTAATTTTTGGCCTGAAAGTATGCCTCATGTTTACTTATATGTGTTTAAGCGTGCTCGCGTTGTCGTAAAGCCGCATCAAACTCTGTCAAGTAAGGACAACAGCAGAACCAAACAAAAGTTCTGCCGACATGCAGCCACACACAACAGGGAACAAAGTGCAGCACGACAAGAAAAAACTTTGGAAAACTTGTAGGCAGCAACAACTCAAGAAATAAAGTTATAAAGCCAAGAAATAAGAAAAGTATTTGGATATTTTTATGTAACTGAGATTTGTACATATTTATACGTACTTTTGATATACGATGTTAAATATATTCGCATTCAATTATTGTCACTGCTTTGCTCGAATGACCGGGGCTTTTGAAGCTAATGTTGTAAAGATGGGGTCTTAAAATTCAAATTACTCCGTAATAATTGCCCACATTTTGTGTGATGTGTATCTATCGGGAATCTACTTTGCCGTTTTGTTGCATTAAAACCTTGCTGCGTTTGAGAGTTGTCAGTTTTTCTAGGCAAATGATTTTTTTAACCAAAAAGAAATCGATCAATTAAAAATATATCAAATATATTAAACAATTTATGACAATAATATTTTTGGAAAATTTCGGATATCGGTTTCTTTAAAATTTGCAATTATCTAATGATGCAGATTCTAGTGTACTCTACGATTACAACAAACATGGAAATTATAGTCTTGCATATACGGTAATTTCAAACTTGGAGAGAAAGCCCGAACAATTATTTGATAATGTGTTGATATCGCAAAATTCGCACTTCATTTGATGTACTCACCTATTTGTCTCTTTAATGCTTGGGCTGTAAAATATGCTTACTAAGTGTTTGCCTTATTCTTCTTACGGGGTATTTAAGTTTTTTTTTGTAGAATGTATTTATATTTGTTTATTAAGAGTTTTTGTTTAAGCTTACATAATAGCATACATAACTTTTAGTTTGCGTATTCGTAAAGTTTATTTTACTAAATTACATTTGTTCAGTTGCCAAAACATTGACGCATTCCATGATTGCATTTGCATTTAATTTTCGATTGCATTCGCATTCGCCGCCTACATATTTGTTCACCATTTGTTTGCGAAGCGGGCGATTTTCGGCGAACAGCGAACGAAGTAAAAAATGCATTTCCATACCATACACAATGCCGCATTCGGTTAGTATGCGGCAAATTAAATGCAAGCCAGAAAAATTGGAAATAAATTTGCGCAAACTGTATTTAAGCATTTAAGATATTTGATTTCATATTGCGCGCGGAGAGTAATTGCAGCTGCCACTGGCAAATGCAATCGATTGCTGCGCATCAATCTCGTATCCGGCCAGTCCGGCGAGCGGCGACGCGGGATTAAGGCACAGCAAGCAGTGTTCGTAGGGATAAAGTTACAAGTACGGCGTAAATTCACTAAGTCACATTCAAAGGATTAACAAGAGAACGGCTGGCAGCCGCTTCACGGCAGCAGGCGCGGGTTGAAGCGCCCCATGAACAGGATCATGCCCGTGGGGTTGTGGCGCACGAAGTACAGGAAGGGCTTGTCGAAGCGCAGCCGCGGGGCGTCGGGCACGCGCGCCTGCCGTGGCCGGAGGGGCAGCGGCAGCTCCAGGTACTTGGGGTCCAGCAGGTCGTCGTAGAAGCCCCTGCCCAGTGCCGACTCCTGCACCAGCGAGCCGAAGTCCACGACGGCCTCTGACGAGTCGGCGGCGTCGTCCTCGGTGGCGTCCACGTCCTTGTTGCGCTTGCGCAGCGGCGGCGCCGGGTACATTTCCACGTGGTGGTGCTCTGAGATCTTCTCCTCGCCGCAGGTGCTGAACGTGTTGATCTGGATCATGTCGGACAGGAAGATGTCACGGTTCCCGGCTCCGGTCAGGCCCCGCAGGTCAGCGAAGTCCGACTTGAAGAGCCCGCGCAGGCCCATCTTCTGCAGGCCCAGCGAGGCGTTCACGAAGGAGCGGTGCGAAAAGCGCGGTAGCTGCACCTCCATGCCCGGCCGGTCCATCAGCGAGGTGAGCAGCCGGCTCCATGCTTGCGGCTCCCCGAACGCAGTCTCCACCAGGCTGCGCTCCAGGCGGTCCAGGTTGTCCATCGGCGAGATGGAGCTCTGGTGGCCGGGCATCACGTAGACCATACTCACCGTGTCTTGCACGCGGCCGAAGGCCACCACAGTGGCGTCCAGCCTGGGCTCGTAGCCCGCCGAGAAACCGGAGCGGTAGAGCACGGCCGGGATGGGCACGAGCCGGCGCTGGCGCACGGTCGGGTGCACTTGGAAGAACATCTCCCCGTCGCGGTCCGCGGTAGAGCCGCGCGAGCAGTCGGTCTGGAAAAGATTGGCCGAGATAGTGGCCAGGGGTCCGTTTACCCACACGCTGTTGGTGCGAAGGTATTCCAGCACCTTGCCCATCGTATGCCGCTTCACCAGCAGGTTTGTGCGGCGCCGCACGATGTCGTTCACCACGTGGAAGTTAACCTCCTCCACATGTCCGGCGTATAGTTGCTGGGTCTTCTCCTTGAAGAAGGGCAGGATTTTTCCATTGGCCCGGTCGCTAAAGATCTCCCGCACGAACGCCGCGGTCGCGATGTCGCTGTCCGAGGCCTGTTCCACGGAAGTGGTTATGTTCTTAAAGATCAGGTGTGGGTTGAAGGTGACCATGTCGTCCAGCTTCAGGATTTCGTTCATCTCACCGGAGGTGCTTCCGCGCGCGCCGAGGAACACCATTGATAACATGGAGGTGAGGGCGAACGGGGAGATGACCAGGCTTCTGGCGGAGCTGATCTTCTCCGAGGTGATGGCGCGCCAGTAGCTAAAGGCCAGTTCGTTGCAAAGTCGGGCGAAGGACTTCAGGTCTTCGTCCATGAGCGCGGTGGAGGCCTCCAGCCCCTGCGAGTATTCCGGACTGGGCTCCAGCTTCACGGGTGGTCGGGTTGACTGAGTAGAGCTGGCCATTAGATTGGTTAGAAGCGGGGGCCGCTGGGAGGGCCTCTGCTGGTTCAACGAGGCTGGAAAATGGCTGAGGGTCGAAGTTTGTGGCTGAGCCGGGTCTGCCTTGTTGGCACTGTAGGGCAGCACCTTCGGTGGCTGAAACTCTACTTGGTTGTAGCCACCCAGAAGCGAGGGCTGTACATAGTAGGAAACTGGCTTCAAGGTGTTCAGTCGCTTTGTCGTCGTTGCGGGAGCACTCGTGGTAGTGGATTTAGCTGTGGTACTCGGGCTCTCCGTAGCTGGTTTCCGGGTAGTCGTCGTCGTAGTTGTTGTACTGGATGGTGAAGAGACCTGCACCTGGTAAGCGATTTGATCCTCCTCGTCTTCCTCATCGGCCTGGTCCGGTGGAGATTGTCCGTAACTGGACACAGGTAATGCCACTTTGTAACTGTCCACCTGCGGTTCAACGACGGTCTTGTCTCCACTGCCCTCTTGAGAGTGTGAGTTTAGGGGTCGCACCACACTCGCCGTCGTTTCGCCGAGCTTCACGTAGGGATCCTCGTCATCCAGCTGTACTTTCTGAGCACTCGTCACTCCTTCGGCGCCCGAGGAGTCTTGTTCGTCCGAAATGGTGGCTGTCAGCTCGTCGGAAACCTCCTCCATCGACTCATCGTCCAACTGCTGCGACTTCACCGTACTCACTTCGATTTTTTCGGTCAACTGTTCGGAGGTCAGCGACATGTCCGAGTCAGAAGACGCCAAAGACATGTCCCCCGGTATTTCCGTGACAGGCACTTCGGCCTCTTCCTGTTCCCCGCTGACTGGAGCCTGGTATTGGGGCAGTACCTGTGCTGCGTTGGTGGCGCTGTCCACCACATGGTTTTCATGGGATTCCTGGGGCTTTTTTTCTGGATACTCTTCGCTTACGGTTGTTGGAGATTCCTCCTCTGTCTGTGCGTCTTGGTAAGTGCTTGTGGCCGATGTCGTTTCATCACTCACAGACTGTTGCGTTGTCGTTGGCTCTTCCGTCCCAAACTTCTCCGTGGTGGGAAAAGGCTCTGGCTCTCTTTCCGGGACGCCACTTGACTCCGTCTGCTGCTGCTCGTTGTAACCATTCGTCAGGAGCTCGGGCATTTCCTCCTCGCTGTTGTGGTGCGTGAAGCCTTCGGGAGCCTCGCTATAGCTGGTCGTAGACTCTGCGCTACCGGAAGCCTCCTCACTGGAAGTGGTCTCCTGGCTGTTATCCTGTGGCGCCTGATGCTCGGTGGTGGCAGTGTGTGGTTCTGCAGTTTCCGCCTCTGTGGTCTCCACCGGCGGGGCTGCTGTGGAAGGCTCCGGAGTCTGTTGAAGCTCGAGTCGTTCATTGGCAAATTCCTGCTGCTCCTCATCTTCGTCCTGCTGCTGCTGCGCGTATATCTGGGACAGCGAAAGAATGGGAATCCGGTGCGTGCTTGTCTCCAAGTTTATTTGGGACAATGGAACTTCAACAGTGGGTCCTGCATGTAGAGCGTTTGGCGTTGAGGATTCAACCTTGGGCGCGACCGCGGCTGTTGTAGTCTCGGTCGGCAGACTTGATTCTTGCTGCGGCTGCAGTTTTAGGAATTCTTCGGACTCCCCAGATTCCTCAGATTTTTCTGGCATTGGTTGGAGCAGGAAAGAGGTATTGAGTTGGGCAAAATTGGTCAGGCGGAGTGAGTCGTCAATGGATTGGGCTTTTTGTGGTGGCTTGCTCTCGTCGGTCTGGGTGATCTGCTGGATAACATCGGACATAAGAAACTCCAGCTCGTCTTTTGTCTCGTTGGAGTTTACTGGGACATCTGGGACAAGCGAGTTGCTGCCGTCCACCAAAGTGGAGGCCACGGTGGCCGCCTGTGTCTGGAAGTTGGCCATGGATATCTGATCCGTGGGCTTCAGCATCTCGAGGTTGAGTTGCTGCACTAGGTCGGCGATCATGGGGGTCACTTCCGTACTGTCAAAGTCGGCCACTGTGGTGCTCTCCGAAACTGGCAGTCGCAATGCCTGTTCTGTGGGGGCTACCGGTGCGTCCGACTTGTCTTCTATCTTCACGGGGTCTGGGCTATAGCCGCTGGCGGGATAGGGTCCGTTTGTCTCCGACACATTTTCACCTAGTGACTCGAGCTTGAGCTCGTTGTCGGACTCGATAACGGACTGCTCGGTGGCGGCTTCCAGTTCTTCCAGCGGTGACATCGGAGTAGTCACCAGGAACTGGGTCTGTCCGGGCAACTCTGTGGTCTCCGGCTCGTCCGGGCTTCCGTTGGACTTAGTGGGCATAAGAGGCTCCGGTTTTCTGGTTACTGCAAAGTACTGTGGTTTGGCGGTGATCACCACTACTGGGGTCTGCTCCTCCTCGTCGTCCTCGAGGCTGCTGAGCGTGGTCTCAGCCGACTGCTGGTGTGTCACAGAAGATTCGGTGGAGTCAGTTGCGTCCTCCCCCTCTTCGGAGAGCATAGTGGCCAAAGTGCTACCGCCGTAGTGGGATGTCAGGGGCTTGTTGCTAGTGAAAATTGTGGTTGGCTTAGAGGACGAAACAGGAGTCTGAGTGGTAGTTGTCGTTGACGTAGTTGGTGTTGGGGTGGGGCTGGCGACCACGGCTACCTTCTTCTTATCAGCCAGCTCCTCCATCTGCAGCTTGCTCTCAGCACTGTCGTATCTCACGGGAGGCGCAGCAGATTCCTCTTCGGCGTTGTCTGAGCTCGAGAGATCCTGGGTGAGCGACTGCACGATTTGGTCCATGGAGAGAATCTGGGCGGGGGGAGAGTTGGGGGGCTGGCGACGGTGAGCTGAGGTGCAACTGCTGCTGCAGCTGCGCCAGCGAGGGCAATGGAGTCTTTTTCAGGGGCGAGTGTTGCGCCGGAGGCTCGACGAGTAAAGTTGGGGTATTCTGAGCGGAGTCGTCGTCGTAGCTGGGCATCGGATAGAACGGCTTGTGGGTGGTGCTTGAAGCCGTAATGACGTTGACCAGCCCGTAGCTTTCGGGCTGGGGCTTTCCAGCCATCTTGCTGGATTCGGTTGTGGTGCTGTGAACAGGCTTGGCGTGGATTCGGTTGTGGTGCTGGGTTGTCGATGTGGATGGGCGGTTAGCGGGTTTGTTGTGCAGTTTCTGGTGGTGCAGCGCAGGTGGTATTGCTGTGGTTGCTGTGGGAGGCTCTGTTGTTGTTGTCGTTGTGGGAGCATTTGTTGTAGTCGTTGTTGTTGTTGTGGCAGCCTCTGTTGTTGTAGTTGTTGCTGCAGCTTCTGTAGTAGTTGCTGGAGCCTCTGAAGTAGTTGTTGGAGCCTCCGTCGATGTCGTTGTCGAGGGGACTGTGGTTTGGGGCTCCGGAGTAGTGGTGCCCGGCTCTTCTGCCGGTGGCTCAGTGGTGGGAGCCTCTGGCGAGGTAGTCGTAGGTTCGGCAGTGGTCGTGGTCGTTGTCTCTTCCGGCACTGGCGTAGTTGTGCTGGTTGTGGTAGTTGTCGTGGGCGTTGGCTTTGGCTTCTTATGGGGTCGTTGCGGTCTGGACGGCTTCTGAGCGCCCGCGATCTGCGGCTTTGGAGCAGAGCCAGCCGATGCCGACTCACCCTCCGGCTGGATCAGGGGCTTTGGTTTGGACGTGGGCTTGCGCTTCGGTTTCGAAGGCTTGGAGCTGACGCCAGAAGGTCCTGTCCCCGGGGTTCGTGTGGGCTTCCGCTTCTTCTTCTTCGTCGTAGTCGCCGACGGTGCTTGCGTGGTGGTTGAGGGCGTGCCTTCCGCCGGTGCAGGCTCCTCTTGCGTCACTTGCGTGGGTGCCTCCGTCTCGATCTGGGGGGCTGCAGTGGTCGTCGTAGTGGTTGTCGTGGTGGTAGTCTTCTTTTTCTGCTTCTGCTTTCCGCCAGAGGGCTGGGACGAGGTCTCGGCCGCGGGGCCACCGCTGGGCTTCTTCACGCGCTGCGGCTGGGGCGGCTTGCGCTGCACACTTCCCGGCTTTTTGGCCAGCTGGTGAGTGAAGACCACCTCTGTGCTGGAGGGGGCGCTGCTCGAGGAGGTGGGCGTGTGAATGATCTCCTGGTTGTTGTAGAACACGCGCCGCGTGGTTGTCTCCGGCCGGCGGGTGGTGGGAGGCAGCTTCTGGTAGATGGGCTGCATGTGGAGGAGCTCGAACTCCGGCATGTTGGCGGCCACCTGCTGGTACTGCTGAACCCCCGTGTATACGGACTCCATGGGGTCCAGCTCCTCCTGCACCACTTGCGGTGTCACCGGGGTCGTGCTGGTCGTGGTGGCGGGCTTGCGTTTGGTGCCCGGCTTCCGCTTCGCCGGCTTCGGCTTCTTGGTGGCCCGCGTGGCTGGTGGCGCAACCCTGGTAGAAGTCTCCAGAATCTCCGACTCGGGCGTCATCACAATCTGCTGCGGACGCTGCTGCGGGAAAATATCGCCACCCGTGTTGCCGAAAATGGCTGGCAAGATGAGCGACCAGGAGGAGGAGACATCGGGTGTGTCCAAGAGAGGGGGCAGCAGCTCCCCGGAGCTGTTCTTAGCCGAGCTGGAGGCGACCTCCTTGTTCAGCACGCTCTGCACGCTGTCCACGATGTTCTGCACGCTCTTGTCCGGACTACTCTCAGACACCGGGGCCGGGTGGATGATGGACGGTCCCTCGCCGTCGCCGTTGGCCACGATGCTCTGAATCTCCTGCATGGTCATAAGCCGTTTAACCAGCTCGCCGTGCTCGTCGAACGTGTAGAACTCGTAGCGGTCTGGGTTGAGGAGCACGATGGGGCTGGCCACCTGCAGCGACGGCTGTGGCTTGGGCACCTTATGTCCGAGGGCATCCGTGAACTGCGGCTCGTTTCCATCGAGGACGACGGACACTGGCGCGGTTGCACTGGAGAGCGGGAGATAACGGGGAAAACAATTTACTTTTACTTTCGGAGTGGCGGTGTGAAATTTTTTAGATTCAAAATTATATACTTAATAAGATACTTAGTTTTAGCCTTTTCAATACACTTCTGACCCCATTTGTATCTTGATATGTCCTTCGAACTGTTCTTTCGCATACCAGTCTCTTAGTTTTAAAAATATATCTTCGAAACTTTAGAAGACTTGAAGCAATTGCAGGTAGTATATATGTTGCAAATATATCAACTAGCTGCCTTAAAAAAAGATCAAAAAAATATAGTGATTCTTAAAGCCTCTGCAATTTTAAATTAAATTTCTTTTCATATAACTGAATGGAAGTATAATTATCCCGCTTTCTTATCGTTAAACCATAGTTTTTAAAATAAAATAATTTTTTAAAAAATTTTGATTGTTCAATTGTAAGACTTAGATTCCATAGTAAAAACAGAAAAATACTTGAAGCTAGCTTCGGTTTGCCGTAATCAAATATGTCGAACCAAATACATACATAGAGGCTAAACTACATCGAAGCTATGTCGATTTTTCTACGAAGTTTCTGTATTTTCGACGAAATAAGCTATATCGTCGTCCGATTTTTATGAAATTTAATTCGGAATTCAAGAGTTATTACAAAACTCTACATTTCAAAAAGTTGTACGATTTTTATGAAATTTTTTTTCGATAAAAAACAACGACGGTTTAAATTTTTTTCATTATTTATATATATTTTGCGATCTTTCCTGTGGCAGCGATATGATAGAGCTATCAGATTTTGATAAAATTTAATTCGAAATTCGACAGTAGTTAAAAAACACCATCTGGAGCTATCCTATATAGTCGCTCGATCCGGCACGTTCCGACTTATATACTGCGTGCAATAACTTCACATCTTTGGGAAAGTTTCAGCATCTTGCTGAAAGCTTTAAGACTGAGAGACTAGTTTGCGTAGAAACCGACAGACGGACTAATGGACAGACGAATTTCGATTCAAATCGTGATACTGATCAAGAATATATACACGCTATGGGGTGTGAGGTGTCTCCTTCACTGCGTTGCAAACTTGTGACTGAAATTATAATACCCTTTGCTCTGCAAGATTATAATTATAGAAAACTTTATGCCATATACATATATATTGTGAGATACAGCAATTTTTTTAAAACTAAACTATTTTTCAATGAGATAGTTATATCATACGTATGACTGGGATGAAATAACAAAAAGTATTTTTTTGATTCGAGACAAAATATTTTTTACAATATACCTTAGACTTAACATTTTAAGTATCGAACCAAAAATGATTAATTTCGATCAAACAATTCCCATTGATGTCTATTATTCTGTCACGAGCCAAATGAAATTGCAAACTTAACCAGAGCTTAATAGCAAGCTTATCCTGCTAAGAAGGTCGAAAGTCAGGCAAAGACACGAAGACACGCTCATGTGGACTTTGCCCTCGCCACTTGACGATGCCGTTTATTCTTGGTTTTTATGTTAATGTTAATCATAAGCTTATGGCAGCTGTATTTTCAATTCCGAGCGGCGTTAATGACTTTTGATTTTTATAGAGTCGTTCTGGCGAAAGTGCGGTTTGTCCCTCTGGCGGCGCGAGTCATGTTGCATACTTGGCGGCGCATCGTTGGCATTTTAATGGAAATGGAGAACCATGCAATGGTTGCGGAAAGTCACGCAGTCAGCCATCCCACCACCCTTCCCCCACTTCCGCCCTTCCGCCCATCCCTCCATCACCCGCCACCGGCTTACGCAACTGCATCTCCATCCTCCGTCTGCATTTGTGCAGCGCTTAGTGGGAATATCTCGGCACACACTACAGTTTACATATGTTAGCTGCGTCTGTGCGATATGAGTATGCAAGTAATTCCGCGTGTGGCATGAGCACATCATTAACATTTAAGCACGTGAGTCGAAGCGTGCTTAGTCATATGCAGCTGCCACACGCACACAAGCTCCCTGTGTGGACATACAGGCAAATGCCACTTGCCATAGAGCAGCGGGTTTGATGCCTCTGCCTCGTCAAAATCATCGACGCGGTGGAGGCAAAGCGCTTCATGCGAGAATTAAGTGCAGAAATGTGTTGCAATGGGATTAGGGCGAAAATATTCCGTAAAATTTGTGTGCATTTCTAAACCTATTCCCGTCGATTTGTAGCTTAGTCCGAGCTGGCCTTTGAGGCGAAAGTAAATGATTTATTGACTTATTTCCAATTAAATTTTAGGTAAACGTGACCGGCCGAGTGGCGTTGTATCGTAAAGGTCCAAAAGAATGTCAGCCGCACAGATTGGTTTTAATTGGAATCCAGAGGCAATGCAGCACAATCAAAAATGCATGTAAATATTGCAGGTGCGCCTGGCTGCAGTTACCAGCATGTAGCTGCGCGTCATCATCGTCGTTATCGTCGTTATTGTCGTTATCGTCGTTATCATCGTTATCACCATCGGGCAACAGCTCGCAGTCATTACCACCGGTGGGGGCGGGGGAAGTGTAGGGCGCTCCAGCAGCTGACGCAAGAAGCCGCTGGCTGTGAATTTGTTTATGCGCGGAATTAATATGAAAGTGCCGGAACCTTTTCAAACAGATGTCTTCGGGCAGCAGAGTGGCAGAAAAGGAAGACGGAAAATGGAAAGTACGCTCCTCCATTTGTCCTGTTCTCCTCTGAATGGATTGGGGATAAGCCGTTTCGGGTTCACTCCAAAGAATCGCGCCCACACAAGCCCAATTGATTAGCATTGATTTGAAGTTAATGAGCACTCAATTTGGTCGCTGATGTTTGCTCCGTGCACAGCCCACCTTCGCCTTCATCAAAACCCTCCCTCCAAACCCAGTGGGATGCCGAACGCGTGCCACAAAGTATGCAACGCTTTCGGCCCACTCCAGCACGCTTTGCGGCCGCAGAGCAAATTAATTAAAAATACTAAGGCGAGTGCCCAGCCCGACCAACCCACGCTCCTCAATCGGCACAACGGCTACAACAAAGCGGGAAATTCTATTTCAATTAGTGGCAAAAATTGCAAAAAGCTGCGCAAACAAAAGATTTTCCCCAGCAACAGCAACAGCGATAGAAACAGCAAACAAAGGGCAAGTAAAAACGGACGTGTAAAACAAAGAGACCCCCGCTACACGGAAAATAATAAGATTGCGGATTAACAACAATATGATCCGGCTCAGTTTGATAATGATAAAGCTACTTTGCTGCTCCTAATGCTTTTCATTCGATTGTTGTTAATAAAAACCTAATTTTACATGTAATTAAATTTATGTGAGCAAGTTAATGTGAACGAGTGCCGAAAATCACTTAAAGAATGTCTTCTGTCCAGTGTTTTTCTTTCTGTGCGCATTCCTTAATTCAGGCAGTAAAGCCGCAATGAGCGTAAGTCTGTACCGGTACAAAACCAGCGTGTGTACTCACCTGGAACCGATGACTTTCTTTGAAGGCCCAGTCTCTTCGGTCTGGACATTGGACGACGCCGACGACGTGGACGGAGAAGTTGATGTGGCTGAGGAGGGAGCCTGGGCATCACGGGCATCCTGGGGACCCTCCTCGCCCTCTGGGGGAGGGGAGTCGTAGACGAACGCCGGCTGCAGGTGCTGCCTGGCGGCCGGGCTTCGCTGGCTGGACGATGACGAGGACGAGGACGAGGAGGTCACATAGGTGACTAGCGGCTGGCGGGACTGGCTGTTGGGGAAGGCCAGGGTGCCGGCGGTGGCCAGGACCAGCCAGGCAAGAAGCCAGAGCGCAGGGTGAGTGCGCGGCAGAGGCATTGCGGAACGGGGAGACTCGCGAGGGGCGTGCGTTTGTTTTCGCTTCGGCCTCGGACTAATCTTAAAATTGTTTTCCTCTCCCTTTTACTGATGGGAGGTCGGGACCTTTGGCTCACTGAATCCGATTGGCGCTTAATGTCGAAGGACGCTGCATAAACATCAAGCGGGAGCTGCAAAGTGGAATAAAAAACTAATTAAAGCAGTGTTAATGAAGGCGAGTTGCGAGAACGCCGTGCCTGAATTTGCATAAGGTGCGCGAATCCTTTAAGGAAGCGGCGCAACTTAAAGCGTTGTTGCAGGAGGTGCATTGTGGCATGCGGCGCGCTTTTAGGCCCTGTCATAATCAGGCGCCCTGGCAGCAGGCAAATTGCCAGGCACCTGAAACCTGGCACGCTAATGCGCCTGTAATTATGCTAATAATAACGAGCAGCCACATGAGGCGAGTGGGGGAAGTAATGCCATTGGAGTTGGCGTCTTTGCAGTAAAGCATGCTTTCAGAGCCTTGGCCTAAGTGCCAGGCAATTTGGCCCTAAGCACGGGGATACGAAACATCCCCTTCCAGGAATGGCCGTGTGCATTACAGAATGCATACAGCGGCTGATGGAAACTAGAGATCCGCAATAACTTGGAGCGGCGTTCGGGTTGGCCTACGTGACTTTGGATTGGGTCAGGAGCCCTGCCAAGTGCGTTGCCAGGAATCGGGAAAATGGCTTTTATTTTTAGCCAGCTCCCGCTTTGTTTTCCCTTGCCTTGTCGTTGTCTGTCACTCGCTATCAGCATCAGAAATCTGTGCAAATACTTGGCAGCCATTTTGACAGTTCTCCTGTTCTGCGTTGTGCCACTAAGCCTCTTCTTTGTGTGCGTATGGGTGTGTGTGTGTGAGTGTGTGGGATGGCTCAAACGAATTGTCAATGGCGCGACACGAGGGAACAGAGCAAACAGGCAATATGTTAATAAGCACAATGGCCAACAGCAGTGGCAAAGCCGAGGAATGCGCTGACAACTTAAAGCCGCCGCTGTCAAAATGTTAGCTCGCAGAAACGTATCCTGAAAACCCTCCCCCCACTCACTCACACACACACATACGCACACACCCTTAGTCCTGTGAACTCGACAAGTTTTGCCACATCACGTACGCACACCAACACAGGCGATGAAACCAGTCTATATACGGCAGATAGCTAAACGATTCCTGGTCAATGAGGAAAAAATCGGGCATAAATACCGGAGCCCGGCCATAAAAATATGCTCGCTGACTGGTTGCCGACGGCATTGGCACTCTGGGTCCTATTTTTGATTTTCTCCGTTCGTTTTATGGGCACGGAGCAGCGAGAGAAATACAACCGAATTAACATAAATTGGGCGTAAAATATTTCAGCATAATGTACGGCTCGCAGGGAGCGTCCGTCCGTCGACATCGGCGACAAAGGACTCGTCACGGCCGCAAGTTGGCAATTGATTTGTAACGGTAAATTACGATTGTCAGCGGTCCTTCGCAGGATAGCATGGTTGGATAGTTGGGAGGTTGGATGGTTGGAGGGGGAGGTTGTTTGAACGGTGCCGAAACCGAGTGACATTGAAATGTAAATGGAACGCCGGCCCCGAGGAGTGGCTTACCCTTTGGGAGGAGCGCCCGAGAAGTTAACTGAGGTGAGGTGCCAGAACAGATTGGTCGGACTGCCATTGTCTGGGTCGACAATGATGCCGAGTGACATGACAAGTGGCCGACAAACACACACAGGAGCCCGGACAGAAAGTCACAAAGGAGCTGAAGAGCTGAAGAAGTGCGCTTGTTCGGGCTCCCATCGCACCATCCTGTGTCTGTTTCAGTTTCAGTTTCAGGTCCGACCAAGATTGAGCCTGACAGCTGTAGGAACAAGCAAACGAGTCGAGTCGAATCGAATCGAGAAGAAATGAGACCGCTTACGAGCTGGACGTTTGTTTAAACAAATCACTCCGGCGTTTCCATATGTTAGGGGGAGAGGAGTGGGACGGCCAAAAAGCGTAACAAATGCAAATACTCTGCGTAGAGGGGGGACTGGCTATAAATCAAACGACAAAAGGTGTATTTAGCCAAAATGACAATTTGAGGCCTGTGGCTGGCAGACTTTGCTCAGGACACGACCCAAAGCCGGGAGCACAGCCAGGGTGTGGCTCCCGAAGGCCGCTTCCGCCAGATGCTGGGGGGGGTATACATTTCGGGGAAATGAGTGTCGGATGCTAGACTTCATTAGCAGAGGTTGAGCGTAGAATCAATAACCTCAGTCCAAGCAAGGTCTGACCTTCGGTTTTTTCATAATTGAAAAACAGTCTCAGGACATAATTGAACAAGCCCACATTACACCTTTAAACTTAGATTGCTTTTCCTTCCACAGGTCAATACTTCCCAGGAATTGGGCTTGAATGTTAAGTGCAAACAACGTATTTGAGGCCAGGGACGGGGGAAACTTATGTCTATTGAGTTAGCCAAGTTGCGTGCGACCAAAATATCCGCAGAAATTGGTTTTAAGGCTTCAGAATCAACCGCAAATAAAGGAGACAAACGGTCAGCAAATGAGCCACTCACACGAACACTGGATCTGAGTGTGTGGGCGGGCTGTAAAAAGTTCAGAAGAGTTTGCAACGTCCGCAGCGACCAATGAAAACGTGTCACGTTCCGTGGGTTTGTGGAAAATTAAGATTTTCCACCAAGGCGAAACTTGTTTCGGTTTGTTTTTGCTTGTTAGCCATTGATTTCTTATTGGATTTACTGTCCCCTGCACACACAGCAGGACTTTGGAGCAATCAGTTATCGCTTGCGGCTAGGAAATTAAAGCAAATCGCATTACGGCGCTCGCCGTTTGGCGAAGGTCGCGCTCCTCGCAATGTTGCATGGGTCGGGGAACTTTAAGAGGAATGGCCCTTCACGGTTAAGGGCTCCCCGAATCGGTGTATCGGCAATCTGTTGAGTCTGATTTCTGTTTCATTGGCCTTTCCCCTCCAGGAAGCGCAGCCAAGTGTTGGCCGACATTTACACGCTGCTTCCTGGCAGCTTGGCACTGCTTGGCTTTTGTCTTGGCAAGTCCTCGTCCTTCGGCCAGCGGCTCCAGGACCTCCAGAGCTCGCACTTTCGCACTTTTGCGCTCTCGCGGGTGCCCGCCGTGGATTGGAGTGCGCTACACTAACAGAACTTTATCGCTCTGTTTCCGTTTCCGTTACGTTACGTATACGCTCCCCAAGCGTGGCCTCCCAACGCTCGTAAGATGTAATTTCAGCCGCTGGCCCGGCTTGAGAACTTCTCCTCGTGCGCAGAACATTTGATTTTATTTATTTATTTCGATTTGCGCTTTTCTTTCGCAGCGCGCACAAAAGGAAAGCCCCCGCACACGCTGGGCTGTTGTTCTTGCGTCCCGGTCGACGAAACAATTTCCTTCCTCCCAGCCACAGTGGGCAAAGGGTATAGACAGCTAGAGCTTCTCGAGCACTCTTTCAGTGACATCGGCCTATTTAAATGAAAGCTCATCAAATATCAACTGCATATAAAAGACCAAATATCGGAAACCCAATTGTTAGGGAATTGTTTTTATTTAAAAGTAAAGTTAAGAGTCTCAAATATGTTATAAAATATATGTTTAATACAACAATATGTTTCAGTGAACTTGTTGTCAAATAATGCTATCCTGAACAAGTTAATTTTGCAGAAAGAAATGTTTCATATCGCGAAGTTAATTATTAAACAAATCTGTATATCTCCAAATCGTACCTTATGTAAATGGTTTAATCGGCTCACTGTACTACAAAGTTACTCATAATATTAGTCCTGTGCTACTGTGCTGTGCGGTTTCTACTCCTAACCGATGTGTCCAAGGGCGATTAGTATGTGCCACCACTCTGAAACGAAGCTAAGTGCCAATCTGGCCCACTGTGAATTGGCGCAGCTTTTCCGGCAGCACTGCTCCTGGCAGTTGTGCGCCTCTGGCCGGCTAATGTGCATTTTATTTTCCGCTCCCACTGCCGCCGGAGCTCAGTCGATTCATTGGCCATTTACTGGCTGGCAGTGCCACTTCCGCACGGGTTCTATCCGGGCATGTGCATGACATATATTGTTTTGAAAAAGATTTCGCACGCCGCAGGAGCTCGATATAATTTTCGGCATTCCATTCCCATCACGTGCATATCTCGCCTTGCCAATCTTCATTTGGCTATGAAACTTTTCAGCTGCCGTCCCCTTATCTCGCTGTCTATTCTTCCCCGACTGTTATTGTTCGGATCGAATCGAGTTTTGAGAGGACGTAGGTGGACTGTTTATGCCTGGCAGGCCCCGCACAAAGGCCAAGGTGGATGGAATCTGCGACGAGTCTGCCACTGACACCGCACTTAACCGTAAATAAATCCCCGCAAGAAGCTCGCCTTGGTTTATAGTTTTTCGAGTTTCTGCGGCTCAACGGAAAGCGCCTTGTCCCGCATTATTCCTTTTCGCACGTGTCTCCCATCGAGGCTCTGGATCTTCCTGCCTTTGTCATCGCCGGGCTTCTGTCCATCGATTCGATTCGATCCCAGTCCGGACACGTTTCGGTTGCCACTGTCCACCCGTCCAGTTGTCCTCTTGTCCAGTTGTCCGGTTGCCCGGTTGCCCGGTTGCCCGGTGCCCTTCCACTTAGCCAGCTGGGCCGAAAGTGCCAAAGTTATGGGGCCAGGGCGTGGACGGGATTAGGACACGTGGCGCGGCGGCGTTTAATATATAACTCTTTGGCATTAATTAGCTGGGACCTGCCACGCCCAGCGCGGCGTATACGTGATTTGTAAATGCAACCTGCCAGTGGCGCCGCAACTTTTCGCCACGCATTAAGCGGCAGGCAACCTCCTGATTGCCGCAATTTATCAAATGGCGCGTGTCCGCCGCGCACTGCATTTGCATCCGACTTGGCTGCAGGTCAGAGTGCGCTGCTGCTAACGACAACCGGGCACATCAACATTTTAATTAATTTCGTTAAAGCGCGTCATCAGGAGCTGCACCACCAGCTTTAAAGCGTGAGTGAAATCGCACCGAATTAAGCAAAACTGCAAACAGTTATGCAGCTTTGTCAGCGCGGCTGCATCTCGCTGCACTCGCGGTTGCATATTTATTCGGATTCGAATTGATAAAGGCTTAAATGGGACCGGCCGAGGCCGCGAACGAACGACAGGGGAA